AGAGAGAGAGAGAGAGAATATAGCTGAATATATAGGCATAATGTTACGAAGTGAAATATTGGTTCCTCTAAACTGTTACAGGAAAGGGAATTGGCAATGCATCATGCTTTATTTGCAGGTTATTACTATCCAGAACCTGGTGCCAGCGAAACTGTGATATATACTGTGTTATTACTGTGTTATTCATTGCATTGAGTAATAGATAATTCCAAACATAAATATATCGAGTAGCTGTAGATAAACCCTGTGTTCAAGTACTCACCTGCTAGCCCTGGCACAGGGAATCAGAAGTCTCATATATTCTCTGCAAATTTTGAGTATTTGGCTGCTGATATTTTGAAGTACATAGGACATTTTGATTTTTTTTTCTTTTTTTTTCCTCCTCCGTGTGTTCTGAAACTCCGTAGACTCCCTTTTGTATTTTTGAGCTCTGGGTGTATTTGACAGTGTCATAAGCTTCTGGGAGCGTATCATTTCGTCCTGATTCTCCCAATCTCCCGATTCTCATCTCTTCAATAGTTAAGGTATGTTTCTCCTTCATTGGTTACATTCTGATAGGTTTAGGAGATGGAATAGTTATTTTCCATAGCAGAGCCTCTGTGTCTTTATACATAAAGAAACACGTTCCTGTTTCTTGCAGCTTCATGTGCTCAGACCGGAGAGTCTCCGGGAGCTTCTGTGCAGTACAAAGCCCTTTCCAGGCCCATGTGTCAAGTCCAGTGAGCACCTGCAGTGCTGTGGAGCTCTCCTGAGGGTTGCTCAGTGATTTGCACAATGGTTTCTTTAAAACAACTTGTAAACTCTTCTGATTTAAATTGAGACTGCTCATAATCCAATCCCACTGCTGGTTTTATCGACCCTCAGACAACAGTGATGGGGTTTAGTGAAGCAGATTCTGCAATTAATTGTAGCCTGCAACTCATGCAATCTTGCATTGATTGGTGTTTCTAGCTGCATGTTAGCTGAAGAATAGTCTGAAAGACTTTGCTCTGTGCAGCCTTTTTTTGGGGCACCTCTAGAGGCTTTTTTCACTTCCACAGTCACTCCAGTATTTTTCTGGGCTGTATTTAAGCTGTAGGGGCAGAGAGCAGTCCTTGGGCACAGACCAGGCATGTGATCACAGACAAGAGTGTTACCCTGTGCCTCTGGCTGCCCTTCAGCTTTTGCCTTGTATTTTTGGCTCGCTCCTCCTTTGTGGAGGAATTGTCTCACTATTTTTGTACCACGTCTAGCACAGCCGGTGAATTGGTCGTTCTGCCCCTCCTCCTGAGGTCTGTGCTCAACAGTAGACACTCAGAAGTGATTCCCTAATTGTAATTAATGGAGGATTGTATTTCCAAATGTGCATGTGCTAAGGCCTCCTTGTTTAAGTTTGTCTGAACTGTTCCTTGTCTTGGATGTTCTTTTTGCACAACAGGTACTTCATATCACTGCTCTCTTGCGGTCCGAGCTGGGATTTGTTCTTGCTCAATGTCAGATCCTTCTGCTTGGCATAGCAGAGCATACCACACATCCCATAAATTGCACTGGGGAGCATTTTTAACCATACATCATCACATTACCTATAATTAGCTTCATCGCAGCTATATCCGTGGAGATCTCCTGTGCAAGGATAATGTCTACTCTGCAGACTGAAGTGATCCTGCAGGGAAGCTGGGAGCCCAGCTGCAAAATACTGCTTTAAGAGACCTGAGCTGAGGGAGCCTTTGATACGAATTAGATTATTCAGAGTTTCATATTTTGAAGTCCAGTTTTGACTTCCTTAAGCTTTTCCAGTGGTTAAGTACAAATACCTTAGTGTTTTATCAGTCCTGTATATTATATAAATTCCTCAGTTATTGTCTTCCTACTGTAGTGTCAAGGCTTGTTAGCTGGGATGACATTTACCTTTCTCAGAATTAGAAGTTAGGGATTTATCTATATTTGAGCTAGTTACCCTTCAGCTCTTTCAGTGCCTGTTAAGAACAATATATTAGGATCAGATGAACTGTGCCCTAGAAATGAGTGTGTGTGTGGTTTTGTTTGTTTTTTTTTGTTGTTTTTTTCCATAGTGACTTGCAAACAGAGCTGTCCAAGCTTAGCTGGATGAAGCTCACTCAGTGCAGTCACCCTTCAGTCCAGCTCAGCTTCCCTTTAAATGCTCAGGAACCTCTCAACATTAGCACAACTAAGTAGGACTAGTCACAGGTTTTCTCTATTACAGGAGGCACGGAGAAAGCAGACAGAAAAGCAAAGCAGGGTGTGACGAATCATTTATATTACTTGCCTGGACCTGTGGGTCCATCCCAGACTTGTTATTAATAATTTTTTCAAAAGACTCTAAATTATCATCCGTAGTGAGTGTCCCTCCACATCTGCTACTTCATAGGCCCTTCAGACCCTTGCAGGCCTGGCGCATGTGTGGGGAGCCAGATCACGGCTCCTCTCGGGCTAAAGCTTCGGTTGCAATGTTGTGGTTACAAAACGTGCAGAATTCTCCCAGATGGTTGACTCTGTTAGACTGAGAATCACAACGTTTGCCTTTGTTGCCATTTCTGACATCATGTGTGATTAGCACAAAGCTGTTTTCATTCCTCTGAATACTAACCATATAGCAGCAGCTGGACTTTCCTGGTTGTGAATATCTATTAATCTGATTTCCTGCTAGACCTACATTTCAAAAAGACTGTGTTCTGATTTGGAGTGTCTGTGCTCCCCTGCCACAACCAGAGTAGCTACGTCAGGAGCATTTCTGTGAGTTGACAATCAAAATGAAATGCTTGTAGAAAGTAGAAGCAAGGATGCATGATTGAGGATGAGAATCAAGGAAAAGAATACAGAAATACTCAGGAAAAGTAATCTTTTACTTATTTTTATTTATTTTATTCCAAATCCCATAATTAAGATGTAAAAGAGGGACACAAGCAGGCTAGAACTTTACTACTTAAGCTGGAAGGGGAGCAAATAACAGAAGACAACTGAAGCCTGAAATAGTTTTAGTTTTTATGTCTGCAAGTTGAGCAAAATTCTAGCAGAATAGTAGGAGTTTAAGTTAGAAAACAGAAAACACAATTAAAGAAGTTTTTTACGGGTATATGCATAGAAAGAACCAGAATCCGGAAAATATGCCCTAGAATATTTGAGGAATTGGCAAAAGATGCCAGTGAATTGTTAGTTGTTTGTGACAGCTATGGAGAATGAGGAGATGCAGCGCCCTTCAGCCTTCTCAGCATCATTCACCAGTAGATTTCCATCTGAATAGTGACCCTACTTTTTCCTTCCTCTTATTCATGCCTAGGTTTGTTTCTTTCTACCTTTTATGGCTCTTGCACCTCGAGTCTCATTCTTTCCAATGTATATATCCAGCAGTTTTTATGGAAATGCAGAGCAACTGGTATGAACACTTAAACATGCTTATGTAAAAACATGAGAGCTCCTTATAGCCTTTATTCTGTCCCACTGGAAAACTTCTGTTTCATTCCTTGGAAAGTGCTGGTTTAAAGTATGGCACAACAGGAAATATCAGGTCATTCCAGTTATTATGGAGAGATGTGTGCAAATATATGCCTGCTACTGTATTTTACTAGACTTAATGAGCAGTATGTGCATTAATATGCTAAGAAATTTTGAATACTTAGAGATTTTTGCTGCTACTCCTGCTATATAGTTATGTATCCATTTAAGCCTGCTATTAAGAGAACTGGTTGAAACTACACGTATATAATTAGTGGGAAATGAATTTCCAGTCTTGCATTGTAGTTCCTATGAATAAAACATATGTCACAGGCCTCTTCAGCTTCAGAGAAGTTCCTCTCCTAAGAGAGGACTGCCTGGTACTCAGGACTTCAAATGATGTGTGTATCATCTATGCTCTTCTGCAGTGAACTGCCCTGCCCAAAGATTTATTGGAGTGAAAAGCAAAGTGCTTGTCCGTTCAGCAATATCTCTGCAGTGATTTGGGGAGATGTGTTTTGAGTGCACCAACTTCTGTCTCAAATGAACTCTCAAAAGGTGCACTATGCCAGGGAAAATGTCACAGAATGTATAACTTAGCCAAGGATCCCGGCACTCAGGAGAATAAAGGCACAAAGGAAACTACAGCTCTCCTGAAACACAGGGCCAACATAAATAACACACCAGCCAGGTGTGAGCTGATTCAACACCTCCTTAAGGTACTGTTTCAATATTCCTAAACTAATCTTCACTAGTCAGTCAGGGATCAGGTCAAAATGACTCATGTTTTCAGATGAAAACAGAACTGAACAATATGGATGCATACACTGAACAGAAACGAAGAATTACAAAAATTCCCATAAAGAGTAGCTTTTATGTAGTGTGTTTCATCCGTTCTTTCATGCAATAACATCCTTCCAGCTGCAGTGAAAGGCATTATTAAAACCTGTTATTAACATTTTCGCTCATAGATCTGACTACGTGAAATTAAAGCTAGTGTAACAAACCTGAAAGCTCAAACCGGTTATGGTTGAAATAGTCATCATGATATTTCAGCATGAAGATATGAAAGGTGAAGACTGCAGCTTCCCAAGGCCATTTAAATAGGTGCATTGCATCAAATTGTCTACTATCATGACCATCAATTCCAGTGGGCATTTAAAACAGAAGTTTATTAAATACATGGTGAAAACATCCTTCATTACATTTCTGCAGTGGTGCTGCTGCAAAAAGTGTCTTTGGCATCTGCAACTTAATCACTCTTTCTTCTTGCATGCCTTTCCTTCAGGACCTTTTCTCATCAAATGTTCTGCTGTGAGGATTTTGTCTAGGTTAGAAGGATGGATCTATATGAAAATAAATATTTAGATTAAATAGGAACACTAAGTGTTTTAGAGGAAAAGATGTCAACGGGCTGAATACATTACTTTTCATTGCCAAACACTGTCCAAACCCTTTATTATTTTTGAGCAATCCAGTCTTGCTTATAAAGGCCAGAGGGGTGATGGCACTCATGGATGTTTGTTAACCAGGTGTCAGTGGATCATATCTCTGTCTCTCTATCTCACAGGGATTTGCATTCAGCAATTCTAAGGGCTTCTCCAAACAACAGTTAATTATCTTTCCCAACATCCTATCAGATAGGTAAGTACTTTGCCATTTTACAGATAACAGTCATAAACATGCTGGTATTTTCTGGCTGTATAGGGAATTATTTAAGGATTGTAAGAAGAAGAGTATTGTTTCTTCATTTCTGGCAAAGCAGGTATACAGATAGACATTATTGACTGAGGGACATGCGTTGAGTTACTCAACCAGCCAGAATTGGGCACTGCTAGATGAAAGTCTGTGTTCTAGCTCCCAGGAAATATGTTACCATTTCTACCTTATCCAACCACCAACCTAAATTTAAAAAATATAATAATGATGTAACTAAATGATGTAACTAAAATGATCAACTAAAATAGAAATTTAGAAGTCTTGCTATGGAATATATTTATTTTGACTGAAAAACATTTGATATTCACCAAAAGAAGCTGATCTGAGTCAAATATCAGTTCATTTCAGCTGTTGGTTCACATCCAACAAAAGCTCCAAGATGGGACCTCTTGACCTCTTATTGTTACTATAAATATCTGAAGCACTTGGATAGTTTGAGAATGAGGCTAAGGTGTTTATCTATGTAGAAATGGGAGGTAAACATCCCCTAGTGATCAAGAGCTTGTGTAATTTGTATAATGATCTGTTCTGTTTCAAACTTCTGACCTGAGATAGATCACACCACCTCTCCTGCCCTATTTAGATGTTGTAAGAATAGCTGTATGTTCCTGTATATCCAAGCATCATAGTAATAGGAGCCTTGTAAATTCCTTAGCAAGACAGACAGATAAAATAACAGGGAGCAGAGATCATTTCTGGCACATCTCCTGGGTACTTCCTCTCTAACTATGAATCAGGCTCCATCCAGGCAGATCTTACTCTTGTCCTTGTTCATGACCATGCAACTGGCAGCACTCGTTGGATGTGATAAGACAATACTTTGCTGCTAGTTATATTCATTTAAGGAGAAACAAATACAGCTGGAGATGCCTATACTGTGCTTGGGATGCTAGCAGGCAGAGAGAAGGGTGGAATTATGTGGTTCTCTGCTCTCTTACAATGGTCAGATTGGACCGAATCATTTGAGGTAAAGCAGATTAATATTTTACGGAATCAGGGTCTGCTTTACATACCTTGTTTGTTTGTTTTTGTTTTAAATCAAGGAAGGAAAATCCCCTCCCTCATGCCTCTTTCTATTCTAATTCAATTATGTGAACTTTGTGACTCTTCCCAAGTAGGATACAACTCTTAGGGCACAGCTACACATACATTTCTTTCAATTTCTTTCAATTTTTCTCAGCTATTCCTCCCACACTTTGCCGGCCTCTGTGGTTGCGCTCCCAGGATGGTTCTGCCA